ACAGCGGCACAGCAGCACAGCTCCTCAGCGGCACAGGAGCACAGCGGCGCGGGGACACGGCGGCAGCACTCTCCAGTAGGGCAGCAGCTAGGCGTCCCAGCGCAGGCAAGCAGAAGACACAGGGCCCGAGAGGACACGGCAGGCCGAGCAGGGGAGGCGGGCAGGTGCTCTGGGGCCGGGCTGGTGCTGGGAGGGGCCAGGCTGGTGCTGCTGGGGCCGGTCGGGCACGAGGAGGGGCCGGGCAGCGCTGAGGAGAGGCCGGGCGGCGCTAGGAAGGGGCCGGGCGGCACTAGGAGGAGGCCGGGCGGCACTAGGAGGAGGCCGAGCGGCACTAGGAGGAGGCCAGGCGGGCGAGCGCTAACAGCAGGCGCGACAGGGGCCAGCGGGCGCGACGGGGCCTAAGGGGCGCGACGGGGCCCAGCGGGCACGACGGGGCCCAGGGGGGGCGCGACGGGGCCGAGGAGGCGCGACGGGGACCAGCGGGCACGACGGGGCCCAGGGGGGCCGCGACGGGGCCTAACGGGCGCGACGGGGCCCAGGGGGGGCGCGACGGGGCCTAGCAGGCGCGACGGGGCCTAGGAAGCGCGAAGGGGCCCAGCGGGCGCGACGGGGCCTAGAAGGGGCGCGACGGGGCCGAACGGGCGCGACGGGGCCCAGAGGGGGGGGACGCGACGGGGCTTAGGAGGCGCGACGATGCCTAGGAGGCACGACGGGGCTCAGCGGGCTCGACGGGGCCCATGGGGGGCGCGACGGGGCCTAGGAGGCGCAACGGGGCCCAGCGGGGGCGCGTTAGGGCCTAGGGGTCGCGACGGGACCCAGCGGGCGCGACGGGGCCTAGGGGGAGCGCGACGGGGCCTAGGAGGCGCGACGGGGCCCAGCGGGCACGACGGGGCCCAGGGGGGGCGCGACGGGGCCTAACGAGCGCGACGGGGCCCAGGGGGGGCGCGACGGGGCCTAGGGGGCGCGACGGGGCCTAGGGGGCGCGACGGGGCCTAGGAGGCGCGACGGGCGGAAGCGGTAGGCGGGGGGATCCTAACCTAAGCGTGATACCATGTTAACGTAGAAACGAATGATTACTAGAGGTGGAAACCTAGAACAAATACTAGTTGGTTGTACTCACTAGAAGCATACCTCAGTCTAGCCTATAACTTCTACATAGATAATATGTATAAGTTGACAGATAGGTGGAAGACACGAGCGCCTCTGCAGCGCTGGCACTGGGAGTTGAACCCAAGACCTTTGGCTCTGATGTACCATGTCAAAGTAAGAACTGAAATGAATGACACTCAACACATTCACACTTGGCGAATCAATATTTCGGCGTGTTAAAAAAACGTCAAAAACACGTGTTGGGGCAAAATGAACGCGCTAGACACGCCCTCACACCTGCTCGAGTGCGCCTCGTACTCCAGAACGTGCGTCACTTTGATCAAGGGACAGTCACGCCCGGTACATGGGTTGCGCAACTAATCGAGATTGCACAATCCTGTCTGGTTACCGAGAGCGCCGAACCTCGCACGTCGTGTGAAAGATGGGTTGGACTGATTTTTGTTGGGTTATTTCGCCAGTGGCGCAACCCAGATTGCGGTCTCGACGCAAAGCGCAACCCATGTACCAGTATCACGCCCTCACATGTGCTCCAGCTCGCCTCGGACTTCCTGCGTGATTTTAGTGAAGGACCGATAATGTCTCTCACACACGCTAAGAAAGCTGGAAAATTACATGTTACTGTGCAGTGGACAGGGTGATAATTTTAGTACCCTGTACATTCAGGGTCAGGCCCCCAAATTGCAGCCTTTTTACGCTGATTCAGCCTTTTTTCAGGCCTTTTTCTGGTACCTACGCTGATTGCTCAGCCTTTTTTTTTACCCTTAGCCTGATTTTTCAGCAAAGTTTTGTGTTCCTACGCTGATTTTTCAGTGTTTTCATACAAGTGTACACTGATGCCCCAGCGCTATAGGGGGGCTCTACCCTGAACACAAATTTCGGCTAAGTCCCCCATATCTAGAGACAACCCTCCCCCCCACGCACTTCGCAGCCGAAATCGGGGGGAAGAGGGGAGGGATCAAAACCGAGGGAAGGGGGGAAGCAAAACGAAGGGGAAGGGGGGATCGAAACGGAGGGAACTGTAGGGGGGAAGGAAAACAGATGGGAGGGGGGAAGCGAGACGGAGGGGGAGGGGGGAGTGAGCCAGAGCCCTCGCAAACCCCTCGCAAACAACCCAGGAATTCGTCATATTAAATGTCTCGTTACTACGTTCAATAGAAACTTTGGATCAGTGTAAAATCTAGGTGCAACGCTGATTGATCAGCGAATTTTTTTTAGGCTACCCTGATTTTTCAGCCTTTTTTCCGAGGGCAACGCTAATGACCAACCCAAGGAATGGCAGGGGACACTGAAGGATCAGCGTCCCCCAAAACCAATTTGGGGGCCTGTTCAGGGTACTCTTAAATTTTCCAAATTTACCCTGATTTTCAAAGGGTGACGAAAATTTTACCCTAAGAGATAGGGTAATTTGTTTTCGGTACACTGATTACTAAGGGTGCCCCTAAACAATTTTGAGCCCTGATTGGAATATTTCGTCTGGCCCAAAGAAAAAAACAGTTACCGGTAGTTTCAAGAGCCCTGGTTTGCCTTTTTAGATGATGCTTTAAGACTCTTCTGGCGTACTCATGTCCTCAGCTGCTGACTCTGTATCGGCCATTGGCCAGCCACTTCAGTCACTACAGTACAAACCGTCATTTGGAGATTTACTTCATAACATGCAATTCGTAACCAGAAGAACAATCCAATCCAGCAGCAGCTTAATAGGTTTTTGCCCTTCGTGCCACCGACTGCACACTTCCTGATCGCCATTCGATGCAACCGCTCTGCAGCTCCATTGTGCCCCACGCCCTGCCCTTCCCCCCACGGCCTGCCTCGCCCGCCTACCGGTAGCGGCGCAGCGAGAGCATGGTGTTGCGCTTCCAGAAGGCGCGCACGGAGGGGCGGTTCTTGGTGCTCTTGTGGCCCTTGCGCAGCAGCCCGCGGTGGTGCCGCCCGGCCGAGGTGAGCCCGCGCAGCTCGCGGTGCTTCATGACGGGGCGGCAGAGCCAGTTGATGTGCGCGTCGTTGCGGATGGCCTGGTGGTGCGGGTCCACCAGGATCACCTCAAAGTACTTGAACGCCGAGTCCTGCGCGCAAGCATGCACAAGGGGACCAGGGGGGTGCAAAAGAGTGTTGAGCATGGGGTGGGGTGGGCGTTTTGCGAAAATCGGCTGTCTTTCATTCTATTCATTTCCTAGGATGTGGGGTGGTGTGTGAGTGGGGGAAGAGAGGTGGGGCACGCTACATGAAGAGTGATTCAAGGGAGTGGGCAGCGGAGGGTCGGAGAGGCGAGCGAGCACACACGCCCAAGTGCAGCATAGCCATCACCCGCCCTTCACCCCCCCCACGATCCACGCACACACAGTACGCGCTCTTAGCCCCAACACGCTTGTTTCGCACCCAACACTGCACCGAACCGCACCTGGTTGACCCAGTACGAGTTGAGCACGCGCAGTCCACCGAGCCTGCGGCCGGCGCGCTCCTCCGCGACGGCGCGCTTGTTGCGCTGGAACTTGAGCTGCGTCACGCCCTGGCTCTTCGGCTTGCCGTACCTGCGCGCGCAGGCAGGGCGGGGGCGGGGGAAGGGATCACTTAGAGAACGAGCCAAAGAGCAGAGTGGAGGGAAATGGGGACAGAGGGAGGAGGGGGAAGAGAAGAGAAGGGGAAGGAGGCGGGGGGGGGGAGGGAGGGAGGGGAGAAGAGGGCGATATTGAGGAAAGGAAGGAACACGGCGGGAGGCGGGGGGTGAGAGTGCGGGACGTACACGATACCCTTGGCGACGGGCTTCTTGCGACCTCCGCGACGCACCCTCACGCGGTACACCACGTAGCCCTGCGCGCCGCAGCGGAGCACGGCACGCGGGACAGCGGGGAGACAGGGGCAACGGGGTGGAAGGGCAGTGAGAGGAGGAACGCAGGTGGGCGGTGGGCGGCGCAACAGAAACTGGTGGGGGATGCGGGGCAACAGAAACTGGTGGGGGATGTGGGGCAACAGAAACTGGTGGGGGATGCGGGGCAACTGGAAGGGGAGAGATGAGCGGACTGCAAAGCGTGGAGCGATCACTCCGATAGGCCAATACTGCGCCAAACATCTCCCTGGTGCGAGGGGGCTGGCAAGGACTGTGAGACGTGAGCGGCCCAGCGATAGCTGCCGTACTACTGGCGGCATCCATGAGAGGCGCCCTGCCGCTTGACCTCGCACGAACGGCACGCCGCTACCCGACCGCTGGCTGCTATCGATCAATGGCGGAAACTGTGAACGGAATCGGCTGCTAGGCGAATAACGAATTTATAACCCTGAAATTAACGAGCGATGTCTCTAGGAATCACGAATCCACGAGCATTCAAGTTCTACGAGCAAGCTCAAGCCGCGCAGCCAGCAGCGCATGCTGCGACGACTGCTAGCGAGGCACGCGTTGCTGTTCCGCGCACGAGCGGAACTCGCGGGCAGCGGCGAGCAAGCAGCGAGAAAACGGTCATGAGCGTCAGGCAGAGCAGAGCGCGGCGGAACAGGCGAGCGCGGGGAAGACAATCGGCGAGATGGGCGACGCAACGGAAAGAAGAAGCGCCAAACACACCGGGTTTAAGCGCCAATGCTGCGCGGCGTGAATGTCAAGCGAGCCGAGCGCACCTGTTTGGCCTTGTAGCCGAGGCGGCGCGCCTTGTCAGGGCGTGTGGGGCGCGAGACGCGGATGATGGAGGGCAGCTGGCGGTACTCCCAGCAGCGCACGCGCAGCAGAAAGCGCATCACGTCCGACTGCTTCTTCTTCCATAGCTCCGACACGTACTTGTACGCTCCTGCCACGCACGCACGCCACGCACGCACGCACACGCCACGCACGCACGCACACGCACCCCACGCACAAGCGCAACCCGCCACACCCACGCGCACAGCCACGCACGCATGCATACGGAGGGTGCACGCAGGAGGCAAGTACTGTGGGCAAAAACTAGGGTTTGCTGCTTCGAAGAAAGCGCTACGGGACGAGTAGTAGAACTAGAATCGTAAGTCGGAGGTTCGAGAGTTCAACATCGGGCTTGGATCTACGCGAAAGGAAGGAGAGGTTACCCATCGTGGCGGTCGTGCCGAGCCTCCTAAGGATTTCTGACTGACCGAAAGGAAAATAGAAGATGTGGTTAGGTTGGATATAAGGGGCTTAGGGAGCGGAGAGAGGAGGGGAGAGGGAAGAGGGGAGAAAGAGAGACAAGTGGTGCGACATAAACCCTCCGCCTGCCTTCACGAGGAGGACGTAACGGACGGCCAGGATCGTGCCCCAAAAAGGTGAGGTACTGAAGGGCAATGGTGCAGCCCGAGAGTGTTCGCAACAAGGCGAGGTGCTGTTCTTGTAATAATGCGAGGTAACTGAAAACAGTGTTCCAAGGAAACACATATACTTTGTACTACTACCAGTACGTGGAAAACTCACTGGTATTGATTGTTTAAGAACAAACACCCGATCAAAAGCTCGTTGTCAATAGGATATAATATATGACTTGGGAATTTCTGAATCGTGTGTGCATGAGGTTTCTCATGCAATACAATCTCTTTGACACCTAGCACGTTCAATGCAGGCCCTACTATATCAGGATTTTTACACCTTTTACGCTTTTTTCAGGGTGTTTGCATAAACCGACCCTGATTAAAAGGCTTTTTTTAATGATTGAACCATGTTGAAGAAGCTCTTTTTTTTCCAGCGTTATGTTTTCTGTAGACACTGATGCCTCAGCACACTAACGAGGATCGACACTGAAACAAATGTCAACTTATACATATTATCTATGTAGAAGTTATAGGCTAGACTGAGGTATGCTTCTAGTGAGTACAACCAACTAGTATTTGTTCTAGGTTTCCACCTCTAGTAATCATTCGTTTCTACGTTAACATGGTATCACGCTTAGGTTAGGATCCCCCCGCCTACCGCTTCCGCCCGTCGCGCCTCCTAGGCCCCGTCGCGCCCCCTAGGCCCCGTCGCGCCCCCCCTGGGCCCCGTCGCGCTCGTTAGGCCCCGTCGCGCCCCCCCTGGGCCCCGTCGTGCCCGCTGGGCCCCGTCGCGCCTCCTAGGCCCCGTCGCGCTCCCCCTGGGCCCCGTCGCGCCCGCTGGGCCCCGTCGCGACCCCTAGGCCCTAACGCGCCCCCGCTGGGCCCCGTTGCGCCTCCTAGGCCCCGTCGCGCCCCCCATGGGCCCCGTCGAGCCCGCTGAGCCCCGTCGTGCCTCCTAGGCATCGTCGCGCCTCCTAAGCTCCGTCGCGTCCCCCCCTCTCTGGGCCCCGTCGCACCCGTTCGGCCCCGTCGCGCCCCTCCTAGGCCCTGTCGTGCCCGCTGGGTCCCGTCGCGCCTCCTAGGCCCCGTCGCGCCCCCTCTGGGCACCGTCGCGCCCGCTGGGCCCTGTCGCGCCTCCTAGGCCCCGTCGCACCCGCTGGGCCCCTTCGCGCTTCCTAGGCCCCGTCGCGCCTGCTAGGCCCCGTCGCGCCCCCTCTGGGCCCCGTCGCGCCCCCCCTGGGCCCCGTCGCGCCCGTTAGGCCCCGTCGCGGCCCCCCTGGGCCCCGTCGTGCCCGCTGGTCCCCGTCGCGCCTCCTCGGCCCCGTCGCGCCCCCCCTGGGCCCCGTCGTGCCCGCTGGGCCCCGTCGCGCCCCTTAGGCCTCGTCGCGCCCGCTGGCCCCTGTCGCGCCTGCTGTTAGCGCTCGCCTGCCTGGCCTCCTAGTGCCGCTCGGCCTCCTCCTAGTGCCGCCCGGCCCCTTCCTAGCGCCGCCCGGCCTCTCCTCAGCGCTGCCCGGCCCCTCCTCGTGCCCGACCGGCCCCAGCAGCACCAGCCTGGCCCCTCCCAGCACCAGCCCGGCCCCAGAGCACCTGCCCGCCTCCCCTGCTCGGCCTGCCGTGTCCTCTCGGGCCCTGTGTCTTCTGCTCGCCTGCGCTGGGACGCCTAGCTGCTGCCCTACTGGAGAGTGCTGCCGCCGTGTCCCCGCGCCGCTGTGCTCCTGTGCCGCTGAGGAGCTGTGCTGCTGTGCCGCTGTGTCGCTGAGGAGCTGTGCCGCTGACCCTGCACGATGGCTGACTTTGTGCTCCGCCTGGACGCTGAGGGCCACGCGGTTGACTTCGCCGCCTGGCTCTCCGATCTCCGCCGCCAGCTTACAGGTCAGCGCCAGGATGGCCACTCTCTAGTTGTCCATGCTGATGGCTTGCTCCCCCGTCCCCCTGCACCTACTCCCCTCCCTGCTGACCCCTCCTCTGATGACCGTGAGGCTTTCTCTACTGCTGCGCTGGCCTGTGCGGTCTGGGACTCACGCGATGCAGTAGCTCAGGTTGCTATTAGTCACGCCCTCCCTGTGTCTGAGCGCTCGCGTTTTGCTACTGTTGAAACGGCCAAAGCTTATTTAGACGCCGTTATTGCTCGCTATTCCACCCCTGCCTCCGCTTCTGCTGGCCGCTTGCTCTTTCCGATGCTGTTCCCAGACCTGGCTGCCTTCCCTACTGTCGCAGACTTTGCCACTCATTTGCGTGCCCTAGAGACTCGCTATCGCACTGCCAGCACTGCTGCCCAGCTCACTGCGCTCCCCCCTCCTTTCTGCATGACGCTCTATTTTATCGCTATGCGCCTGCCAGACCGCCTCGCTAGTGCTCGCGACCACTTTCTTAGCCAGCACCCGGGTGACCTCACCCTGATCGCCTTTGTCGACACCCTCACTGAGATCGAGACTCGCCAGCGCACTATCGCTCAGTCGAGCGGTGCGCCGGCAGTCTCTATCTTTCACGGCTGTGCCCCATCCCAGTGCACGTTCACTGACGTTTCGGCTGCGGTCGCCACGGCGACCCCTCTTACCGAGACGGCTGCTGCTGTCCACCCGCAGCAGCGCTCGCGTCGCGGTGGCCGTGGCCGCCAGGGAGGTAGGGGTGGTGACGCAGGTGGTAGTGGTCGTGGTGGTGGTGACGGTAGTCCGCCTGAGGGGACTACCACCGGTGGGCAGGAGCAGCAGCCCCAGCAGCAGCAGGACCAGCCCCAGCCGCAGCCGCCGTCCCAGCAGCACCCGCCGCAGCCGTGGGCTCGTCTCCCGCCTGGTTGGCCCGGCACCTCCGGAGGCGGTGGCCGTGGTGGCGGCCCGCGCAGCTTGGCGTCTACCAGCGGCTCCAGTGCTGTGACCTGCCAGTACCAGCTTCAGACCGGGCCTCTCCGCGGCACTCTGTGCCGCCGCCCGCACCCGACCGCCCGCTGTTTCCGCCGCCTCGACGATCTTTTTCGTCGTCGCTTTGGCCCGGCCCCGGACCTCCCTGACTGGCACAGCCTGCTCCGCCAGGGCGTGCCGATCTTTGAGTTAGACATGGATCAGATAGGTGCTGCTTTGCATGCTTTGTATGCTGACGCTTCTAGTGTTGCTGGATCTTACTACCCTGTGTACTCTAGTTTAGGTGTTTCACCCTTGTGTAGCTCAGCTTCCCCTGCTGCGACAGGCGTAGGACTGCCTAGGTTGCCTAGTCTAGTCGCTGCACCGGCTCCGTCCCCGGCCTCCGCCACTGCGTCGCTGTCCTTCACTCTCGACTCTGGTGCTTCTGCCTGCTTCTTCCGCGACCGTTCCACGCTCACGCCGCTTGCTGCACTTGCTGTTGTCTCTCTCGCTGACCCCTCTGCGGGTCCGGTCGTCGCGCGCAGTTCTACGTCCCTTCCCTGTCCGGCAGTTCCCTCGGGCTCCCTTACTGGCCTCCACGTTCCCTCGTTCTCCAGGAACCTGGTTGGTGTCGGCTGTCTCCAGGACCTCGGCGTCACCACCACGTTCCCCGGGCACGAGCGGTTCGCTGTCTGTTCTGAGGCTGTCTCAGGTTCCCCCCTTGCGACGTTCCCCCGGGACCCGGTGTCCGGTCTGTTTACCCTACACACCGCTTCCCCCCCGGTTGGTGCGTCCTCCCAGGTCGCTGCAGCTTGCTCGTGTCGGTCCCTCACTCACCCCTCCCTTCTCTGGCACCACCGCTTAGGTCACCCTGCTCTCCCGTGTCTGCGTCACATGTCCCAGCACGGTCTTGTCTTAGGTCTCCCCGCGTCGCTCCCTGCCCTTCCTCCCTCGACTGCGCCACCGTGCACGCCTTGCGTCGAGGGTCGGCTCCGCCGTGCTCCTCACTCCTCCTCGCTGCGTCCTGCTACTGCCCCCCTTCAGACCCTGCACTTGGACGTTTGGGGCCCTGCCCCCGTCCCCGGACCGCGCGGTGAGCGCTACTTCCTTGTGCTTGTCGACGACTACACGCGCTACACCACGGTGTTTCCCCTGGAGCGGAAGGCCGACGTGCCCGACGTTCTTCTCCCGTGGGTTGTGGCTGCGCGTCTCCACCGCGGTCTCCCCGTGTTGTGTCTCCACTCCGACCGTGGCGGCGAGTTCGCCTCTGGTCGGCTTGGACAGTTCTGTCGTGCGGAGGGCATCACCCAGTCGTACACCTTGCCGGACTCGCCACAGCAGAATGGGGTTGCTGAGCGCCGCATCGGCTTGGTCATGGAGGTCGCCCGTACCTCCATGATCCATGCCGATGCCCCCCATTTTCTGTGGCCGTTCGCTGTTCGCTACGCGGCTCACCAGCTTAACCTGTGGCCACGCTCCCAGCGGCCGCAGGTTTCGCCGACCCTCCTTTGGACCGGGTCCCCCGGTGACGCGTCTGCGTTCCACGTCTGGGGCTGCCTTGCTCACGTTCGTGCCTCTGGCACGGACAAGCTCACTGCCCGCACTGTCCCCTGTGTCTTCCTCGGTTTCCCCCTGGACTCGTCTGACTGGCTTTTCTACCACCCGCCGTCTCACCGCTTCCTCCACTCTCGTGACGTCACCTTTGACGAGTCCGTCTCCTTCTACCGCCGCTTCCCTCACCGAGGTCTCCCAGTTGCCCCCCCCCTTTTCCTTGCTCCCTCTCCCCCGGTAGCCCCTGCCCCTCTCCCGCCTCGTCCTGCCCCGTCTGGTGTCTCCCACGTCACTCCCCTCCCGTCGGTTGTCCCCGTTGAGGAGTCTGCTGACTCTGGTGGTACCCCCGGTCCGTCCTTGCAGCGTCCCCCTTCCCCGGTGCCTCCGCCCCCACTGTCGCAGTCGCCGACCCCGCTGCCGCCGCCGTCGCCGTCGCCGCCGCAGCCGTCGCCGCTGTCGTCGCCGCCGCCGCCGCTGTCGCTGCCGCAGCCGTCGCCGCTGTCGCCGCCGCCGCAGCCGTTGCTGCCACTGCCGCCACTGCTCTCGGCCCCTGGGGGTGCTGGTGTGGAGGAGGGTGTTCGTCCTGCGGCTTCTGGGGGTGCCGCTGGTGTTGGAGGGGGTTCTCGCTCTGGGGGTGTTGGTTCTGGGGGTGCTGCTGTTGAGTGTTCTGCCGACGGTCGTTCTGCCTCTGCTGGTCCGAGAGTTCCGGCCCAGCCGTCGTCGCCGCCGCAGCAGCCGTCGCCGCCGGTTTCCGCTCTCCGCCTGCTCGGCCTTCCCTCCCCGGACCGCGCGCCGGTGTCTCCCCCACCGCCTCCTGACCTTCCTGTCTACGGTCCTGTGTTCCCGCCGCCAGACTCGTCTCCGGCCCGTCTTCCTCCTCGTTCCCCTCCTGTGTCTCCTCCGCTGTCCCCTGACCCTACCCCTCCGTCTCACGTTTGGGCTCGCCGTCCCTCCCGTGCTCGTCCCGTCTCTCCTGTCCTGCCCACCCACCCTATGTTGCTCCGTTCCCACTCGTCTCGTCCTCCCCTCCTCCCGTCCCCTCCTCCCTCGTCCCTTGCTGTTGCACCTCCTCCGTTCTCTGACTACCTCCGTGCTGCTCGTCCCCTTGTCCCTCGGGTCCTTGCCTCTCTTGTTACCGACCCTGCTGTTCCTGTCTCGCGCCTTGACGCGCTTGTCGCTGCTGTCGCTGACTTCGCCTCTACCCGCCGCCTTGACTACGCTACCGCTCTGGTCTCTGACCCTGCCCGTCCTCTGTCCGTCGGGGGTGCTCCTGCCCTTGGCAGTGACGTCCTAGAGGACAGGCAGTACGAGCTGGCTTTCCTTTCCGAGGCTGCTCCCCATCTCTGCTCCATGCTGTTAGTCCCTGAGGGTGACCCAGACGCCTTCGACATCCCGACCCCTCGCACCTACGCTGAGGCCACCTCGGGACCTTGGGCCTCTCAGTGGATAGCTGCCATGGAGCAGGAGATGGCATCTTGGAGATCCACCGGCACTTACGTCGACGCAGTTCCCCCGCCTGGGGTGAACGTAGTCGATGGTCGGTGGCTCTTCAAGGTGAAGCGCCCCCCTGGAGAGCCGCCTGTCTTCAAGGCGCGCTACGTGGCCAGAGGTTTCAGTCAGCGCGAGGGGGTTGACTTCTTCCAGACCTTCGCCCCGACCCCGAAGATGACCACTCTTCGGGCGCTGCTACACGTAGCAGCACAGCGTGACTACGAGCTTCACTCCCTCGACTTCTCTACTGCCTTTCTTCAGGGCAGCCTACACGAGCAGGTCTACCTGCGCCGACCACAGGGCTTCACTGGTACCTTCCCTCCTGGGACCCAGTGGCTTCTCAGGCGCCCGGTCTACGGCCTGCGTCAGGCTCCCCGCGAGTGGCACGACACGCTACGTGCCACGTTAGCAGACCTGCAGTTCTTTCCGTCCTCTGCTGACCCTTCACTGTTTGTGCGTTCCGGCCAGACTCCGTTCTACATCCTTGTCTACGTAGACGACCTGGTCTTCGCTACTCCTGACAGGGACGCACTGGCCTCTGTGAAGGCTGAGCTGCTGAAGAGACACACCTGCACTGACCTTGGAGAGCTGCGTCGCTATCTTGGCCTGCAGATCTCTAGGGACAGAGCAGCACGCACCATCACTCTGACCCAGTCACACTTGGTGCGTCAGGTCCTTCAGAGGTTCGGTCTTCAGTTCTCCTCTGCACAGCCCACACCTCTACCCGTAGACCATGGGCTCTCTGCTCCCGTTCCTGAGGAGCCAGTAGAGCCCAGTGGCCCCTACGCAGAGCTGGTGGGTTGCCTCATGTACCTGATGACTTGCACTCGCCCAGATCTCGCATACCCTCTCAGCATCCTGGCTCGCTTTGTGGCTACAGGCAGACACCGACCTCAGCACTGGTCTGCCGCTAAGAGGGTTTTGCGTTATCTTGCTAGTACATCAGGCATGGGGTTAGTGCTAGGAGGACGCAGGCCAGTGGTCCTTACTGGGCACACAGACGCTTCTTGGGCAGACGACGCTGAGACGCTCAGGTCGTCGCAGGGCTACTGTTTCAGCCTTGGTTCGGGTGCTATCTCTTGGAGATCCACTCGCTCGTCGTCTGTGGCTCAGTCTAGCTGTGAGGCTGAGATCTACGCTGGTGCCATGGCGGCACAGGAGCTCCGCTGGCTGACCTTCTTGCTCACAGACTTAGGTGAGCGGCCTAGCTCTGCCCCGGTCCTGTACGCTGACAACAGGGCCATGATACTCCTGTGTCAGGAGCCTCGGCTTGAGGGCAGAGCGAAGCATATCCAGCTGCGGTACTTCCTCCTGCGCGAGCTACAGCAGCGCCGCCAGGCCCGCGTAGTTCACTTGGCCTCAGGTGCCAACACAGCTGATATCTTTACTAAGGCGCTTGCGCCTAAAGATCATCAGCGGCACTGTGTACAGCTTGGTCTTGTTCCTGTAGCTGCTCCCCTGTTAGGATCCTGATTGTGTACTCTCTATTATATATGCTTGTCAGACTGGCCTTGTGGCCTTACCTCCAGTGGCTGGACTAGTAGTGCCACCCTGGCTTGCTTCAGTTTTGGTTGTATTCTTGCTGACTGGTCTCCAGACCCCTGCCTCAGTGGTTGGACTAGTAGTGCCGCCCTGAGCTGTTTGCTTCTTGTTTAGTTTCACCCCTTGTCTAGCCTAGGGGGTGTGTCAACTTATACATATTATCTATGTAGAAGTTATAGGCTAGACTGAGGTATGCTTCTAGTGAGTACAACCAACTAGTATTTGTTCTAGGTTTCCACCTCTAGTAATCATTCGTTTCTACGTTAACAACAAACACTTGCGAGATTTACTGTACCGAGTTTCCCCCCTGGTTGGCACGATCCCCTTCCCCCCAACCCCCCACCCCACCAGGCCGCAACAAAAAAATCGGCTAAGTCCTCCATGTCAATAGTTTATATATATTTGGTATCGCCTAGCTATGTCAATTCTTAGAGAGGACAATATTCTTGTACTTGTATCTCCCTTCCCTTCCCCCTCTTCCTAGTCACACTTTTTCCCGCTACTCTAACATGGTATTGAGCTAGGTTAGATTTTTCTCCGTCGTTCTTCACGCTTCCGCCGTTACTCTAGTTTTGTTTTTTGTTTTGTTTTGTTTTGTTTTTTTTTTTTTTTTTTTCGCGCGTGTGCAATTCTCAATTTCGATTTTGCGCCTCCGATTTCGCGCTCTGTAGCCTCGACGCCCTCCCCCTAGCGTTCGAGCTGTTTCGTATGGTAGCCAGCAGGCCAGCGAGCCACCCAGCACGCTAACCAGCATGCTCGCCAGCACGCCAGCCAGCACGCTAGCCGATGCGCCAGCCAACGCGCCGGCCAGCACGCTAGCCAGCATGCCCGCCAACGCGCTAGCCAGCACGTCAGCCAACGCGCCAGCGAGCTAGCCAGCACGTTAGCCAGCTAGCCCGCCAGCCACGTTAGCCAGCGCGCCGCCAGCAGTGCAAGCCAGCTCGCTGCCAGCAGCGCCAGCCAGCTAGGCGCCAGCAGCATCCGCCAGCACCTGCTGCCAGCTACTCGCCAGCAGCACCTGCCAGCTTGTCACTGGCCAGCTCGCTGCTGTGCCAGCCACTGCTGCCAGCTAGTCGCCAGACAGCCACAACTGCCACTGCAACCACTGCTGCTGCCTGTGCCACTGCCACTGCCGCCACTACTGCTGCAACTGCCACTTCCGCCACTACTGCTGCCACTGCCGCTGCAGCCACTGCCACTGCCGCAACCGCTGCAGCCACTACTGCAACTTCTGCAGCCACTGCCGCTGCCGCAACCGCCGCTGTCCCTGCAGCCAATGCCTCTGCCGCCACTGCCGCTGCAGCAGCCCACACTGCCGCCGCTGCCGCCGCTGCCGCCACTGCCGCCGCTGCCACTGCTGCAGCTGCTGCCGCCACTGCCACTGCCGCCTCTGCCGCTGCAGCTGCAATGTCGCCGCTGCCATTGAGGGTTTAGGGTTTAGGCTGCTATCGCCACTGCCACTGCAGCTGCTGCCACTGCCACTGTCGCCGCTGCCGCTGCCGCTGCCGCCGTTGCCCTTACAACCGCCACTGCTGCCGCTGCCCTTGCAGCCGTCACTGCCGCCACTGCCCTTGCAGCTGCTGCTGCCGCTGCTGCCCTTGCAGCCGCCACTACCGCCACTGCCTCCGCTGCCACTGCTGCAGCTGCTGCCGCCACTGCCGCTGCCACTGCCGCTGCTGCAGCCGCCACTACCGCAGCTTGTGCTGCCGCCGCTGCCACTGCCGCTGCCACTACTGCCGCTGCCGTTGCAACCACCAGCTGCAGCCGCCACTGCCACCGCTGCCCGTGCAGCTGGCTCTGCCGCCGCTGCCCTTGCAGCTGCT